ACAGGTGTACACACACACACACACACACACACACACACACATAGAGAGAGAGAGAGAGAGAGAGAGAGAGAGAGAGAGAGAGAGAGAGAGATCTCTTATACACATCTAGATGTGTATAAGAGACAGTCTTTGCCGTCAAGCTTCTCTCTATCTTCCCCCTCTCGTTTTTTTTTTTTTTTTTTTTTCCCTCCCGTTTTTCTTTCTTTCTTTTTTTTCCCTCTCGTTTTTTCCCCTCTCGTTTTTTGCCAATACGATGAGAGAGAGCGACAACGACCACTTCGTTTTTATATTAGTTTAAGTCCTCTTACTCCTCCGTTATTCCTGTATGTAGACGCAAAGTTGCCCCAAATACAGAGGTAATGACCTTACGGGAGGCTTTTGAGGGGGGGACTCGAGCCAGCGACTGGACGATTCGAGTAGTCCTTCCTTCCGTAAGGTCATTCAGTATATCTGTATTTGGGGCAACTCGCGTCTACGTAAAGGAATAACGTGAGGGGGAAGAGGACTCAACTATTCTACCCGAGCGCGACAGATCGACTACCTTCTTCCTTCCTTTTCCCCCGAAATACAACGTACGGTCATTATAGCTGTATTTGACGCATCTTTCAGTCTAGATACACAGCTATTACAACGTACGGTCATTATATCTGTATTTGAGGCATCTTTCAGTCTAGATACACAGCTATAATGACCGTACGTTGTTTGTCGGGGGGGGTAAGGAAGAACGTACTCGAATCGGCCAGTCGCTGGTTAAAATCCCCTCGAAGCCTCACGTAATAAGGTCATTGTATCTGTATTTCGGGCAACTTTGAGTCTACATACAGGAATAATGGAGGGGGGGGGACTAGGGTTCAACTAATAGGCGAAGGAGGACTACTGGAATATAGATCGTCCCAAAAAAAAAAGAAAAAAAAAGAAAGAAAAAAAGAATATAGATCGATATGCGCAATGGGGTATGTCCTTCCTTTTAAACATCTCCCATCGGTCTCTCCGCCTACCTTCTCCCCTTACCTTCACCGCCTCCATCCCTTCTACGCTTCCTCCCCCGAGCCGCGGCCCATCTCGCAGCGCCATAGAGAACGTATTTTTAAAAAATGAATCTGGCCGTATATCCGCTCAGATACTTTCTAATAAAACGGATGGCTCGACCATCCGTTTGATCCCGTCATGACAACTGGGATCGAGCTCGGCCCATCTCGCAGAGCCATGGAGTACGTACTTTCTAAAAATGAATCTGGCCGTACATTCGGGCAGATCCTTTGCCTTTTCGCGGTCTTATCTTATCACCCCTGGCACTCCCCGTTCTCCCTCATATGGCTAATCTCTCCATCGAATCCCCTTGTGCCATTGCAGATCTCTTTCCCTCTCTCTCGCCTTCCTCTCCCCCTTCGCTCTCTCCCTTCTCTCTCCCCCTCCTCTCTCCCCCTCCTCTCTCCCCCTTCTCTCTCCCCCTTTTCTCTCCCCCTTCTCTCTCCCCCTTCTCTCTCTTGCGGACCCAAGCGAGCGAGCGCGCACGCTCCACAGACGGGAAAAAAGAGAGAGAGAGAGAGAGAGAGAGAGAGAGAGAGAGAGAGAGAGAGAGAGAGAGAGAGTTCTCTCTCATGCGGACGCAAAAGCGCGCGCGCGCACGCACGCTATACAGATGGACAGACAGACACACACACACACACACACACACACACACACACACACACACACAGAGACAGAGAGAAAGCTACTATGGTACACGAGGGATAATTTCTGTAGGGGTCTCTCCATTGCGCGCTGCTTCTCTGTTCCTATATCTCTGTGTGTTTTGCGATCCCTCTTTTTCTCGTACGCGTATTCTCTCTCTCTCTCTCTCTCTCTCTCTCTCTCTCTCTCTTTTTCAAATTACGCATGTAGGACATGTCATCTTTCGCTCGTACTCAGACTCACGTTGAACCGGCCATCTCCTCTTTCTTCTCTATTCGCTTTGCTGTCTTGTTTTCGCCCTCTCTCCCTCCCTCTCTCCCTCCCTCTCTCCCTCCCTCCCTCTCTCCCTCCTTCTCTCCCTCCCTCTCTCTCTCTCGTTTCTTCTCGATCCCTCCCTCTCGCTCTTCCCCCCTCTTTGTCTACCACCTGCCCTCTCTCTTTCTCCACTAACCTCTCCGTCTTATCTTTCTGTCGATGCCCTTGAGTTCTCCCTCAGCTTTCATGTCTCCGAATTCTCTGCTACCGAGTAGAACGCCCGGTCATTATCGCTGCATCTGGACTGAAAAATGGCCCCAATACATCTATAATGACCGGGCGCTATATTCGCGTGAAGACGGTAGTGCCCGCGGAACTGACCGTTCTCTCTCTCTCTCTCTCTCTCTCTAGCTGGTAATGATCTTTTTCTCTCTCTTCTCTCTCCTCTCCCTCTCTCTCTCTCATGCTCTCCTCTTGTCATTATTCGCCGAGTCTCGTCTTCCCCCGAATAGAACTTATGGTCGCTATAGCTGTATTTGGACTAGCTTTGAGTCTAGATTCAGCGATAATGACCGCGCGTTCTATTCGGATGAAGACGGGTTTTGCGTTGGGCTCCAAGCCTTGGCTCTTTCCCCTTCCCCCCCTCCCTTCTTGCTCTCCTCTTTTCTCTCCTCTCTCTCCTCTCTATGGTCTCTCTCCTCTCTCTCTCTCTCCTCCCCCTCTCTCCTCTGTTTGTGCCTCTGTCTAGATTCGTTCCTTTCAGACGCTTGTCGTTAGCGTACCGTCTTCCCCCGAATAGAACGCGCGGTTGTTATAGCTGAATTTGGAGCAATTTTCGGTCTAGATACAGCGGTAATGACCCCACGTTCTATTCGGATGAAGACGGTAGTCGCATATGGGCGGCCGGCGCGAAACCGCCATCGCTGCCTCTTTTTTTTTTTTTTTTTCGCGCTGTCGCTGCCTTTTCTTCCCCAGCTTCTCGTGGGTTCAATCGGTCCTCTGTTTGTTTACCGTGAACTGGTCCAGATACGTCTTGTCCTTCTGGAGCTCTCTCTCTCTCCCCCTGCTCTCTCCTCTCTCCGCAGCATCCCTGTTCTTAGTTCGAACTCATTGGGGCTTCTCCGGATGAATGAATCTGGACGTTTCATCGCGCAGGTACATCCCCGGTCACTCTGCAGGTTGGGAGAGTCGATGACCGAATCGAAAGAAGAAGGTAATTATATTAAAAACAAATAAGCAGATAATGAGCTCAAGATCGGGTCCCGATCGTAGGATCGAAGGGCCGGGATCCCGTCCCGCCCACCCCACAAACCTACTTTAAAAAAGAGAAGAAAAGAGGAGTCTCTGTGTGTGTGTGTGTGTGTGTGTGTGTGTGTGAGTGAGAGAGAGAGAGAGAGAGAGAGAGAGAGAGAGAGAGAGAGAGAGAGAGAGAG